TCGCCCCTGACTACGGCCCCTGACAATTTGTCGCCCCTGACTACGGCCCCTGACAATTTGTCGCCCCTGTGACACTTCCCGGCCCCTGGGGAAGTTGCATCCGAAGTACATTGATGCTTGTCCCAGCTTCACGAGGAGGGTTCCTACAGCTCGCCTCTCCAGGTTCCCTCAACACCTGGTCTCGCGACCAAACCACGAATGTACATCGTTCAGCCTCAGCAAGACAGCCTCGCCGCTTTCGTCATAAGAGTCAACTTCTCGCCCCCTGGGCGGCGGCCTGCGCAGTCCGGATCCCAGCCCTCACTGAAGTCAAGACGGATCTAGTCGCAGCGGAGGGAACAAGGTTGTATGCGAAAAGGTCAACGTGCCCGTTGCGCAGCGCGTAGTGAGCTTCTCAGATGGTTTCGAACACTTCAACAAACTTCGACTCGTCTTGCATCAAACGCAGCCGACTGCTACTTGGTCGCCCTTTCGCGGACGACGACAGCAAAATTCTGCCGCAAGCGAGTCTCCCAGAGCTCAATGACCCTTGTCGGGACGCATATCATCCGAACGACTACTGCGCTCATTCTTCCTGTCCGTGGATCAGCTACAGGCAAAGGGACAAAGTCCTCAATCAGAATTGGACTTGACTTACTCCCTATCCGAGTTGGACAGGTTATACTTGGACTGTTCTGGGACTGGACCCGAGCCTATGTTTCCGCATCTCATCCTTGCTCGTCAGAAGTCGACTACAAACCTATATAAGAGGCCTCCCATCCAACGGGCCGGGCATGAGCGCAAGTTTATCGAGTCCCTCGGGTCCACTATTCGTGGAGACCACGCGATGTTCAAGGACATGGATATCACTTGAACCCACCCGCTCGCCGACTTTGATCACACAGGCGTAACAAAGCTGAGGCTGCGCGACAAGTAGTACTGGCTCTGGGCATCTTGGAGCTCCACCTTGAGAGTGTATTATCACGAGCTAGGGCGAAGAGTCTCAGCACGTAAGACCTGCCAAATCCTTTCACGCAAGCAATACAGACTTTCCTCGGGCGCCATCGTCAGTATAAGACACGTTGATGCGTGAGAGGAAGACGGACTCTGTTCACGCGAGTCTTAATACAGTATCTGTGCTCGCCAGAGTCGAATGAATTGCCTGTCGCCAGAAGGACTGTATGGCGCCAAGCTTGCCAGCCTGCACTTGACGGTACTCAGCACCGCCCACTCTGCTCCGTCTTCCCACACAAACACCATGTCAGCCGCGAAGAGATCGCCTAAAATCAGCATCTGCCGAGCTGTTGTCACCGCATGGCCGTTCACCTGCGTCCATGGAACCAGGTCTGCACTGCTCTCGTTGCTGTGACAGGCGCGCACAAAAGGGTCCCAGGCAAACAGGCGTTGATGAGTCCCAAGAGACTCAACAGTGCAGCAGTCAAGCCATCATGCCGCGCTGCTCGTCTGTTGAGGGCTGATGCTGCCGCGCAGGCCCAGAGAGGCAAGACTGACCCTCACAGCAAGGTGAAGGCTGCCAGATTAGGCTTCGAGAACGGCCCACTTTGGGGTGAGACATGCTCATCGAGGACCGCCACGGTCAATCTGCTGGCTCCTGTGCTGCAGACCGGAGAGCTCGCCATCTGTGCAGACCCAGCTACCGATGGTTATACAAGCAAAACAACCGGCACTTTGAGCACCCAAGAGGCCGCAATCTTCGTCTGTCCGGATGGTGTCTTCAACGCACCAGCATCCAAAACCAGCGACGGCTCCCTCTCTTCGTCGCGCTGCTTTGCGTCTCATACCAGGCTTATGCCACAAGGACGACCAGCGGCAGCATCGACTGCACCCACGACGACGGGGGGGTCAAACACAGGGATCGGTCACACACATGAAGCAAACGACGCCATTCGGCGCAGTCAGGATTCGCCTCTCACTTGCCCAACCCAGGTCAAGCGATCATTCAAGCTCTACCTACGTCTCATCGGACTGTGCTACACTATACTGTACAATCACCGATTCTGAGACGAGACCTGCGATCGCTTGTTGGAGCACAACGTACATTTGGTCGAGTCGACAAGCCGCCATCTTCGTTCAGCAAAGATCTCGAGGCCTCTTCCACAGGAAACAAATGCGTTAAAGCAGCATACGGAGCACGGATGTCAGCGCAAACAGCCACCGTCGAAGACATTGTTACCATGATGCACATGGAGACAGGCTCCCTCGATGGGACTACCGTTGAGCGAGATGAGACATCCTACAGCCTACACATCCGCACGATTACGTCAGCCCGCTATCGTACAGTAGTACGACCCGTCTTTGCAACGATGATGCCCATCTTTATGGGGCCTGTGCTCTTATGCGAAGCTCTGTGTCCACGCTTGGCCAAGTCCATGCCTATGTGGCTGCTGGAATGTCGGCTCTTGGACCTTACCAGCGTACCACGGCTAATTTGGACATCTCGCTCTGGCCGTCGAAGCTGACACTGCTTCCGCCGACTGGGCTGGCGCACCGCCTTGTCGAGTGGCTGGGTGAGGACTGCAGGTACCCTCGAGTGGCATAGGGCAACAGGTTTGGGCACACTGAACCTGAAAGCGATGGTATCTAGCAAAGAGAGTTGCCAACGGGCGAGTCGTTTTGGTCTCTCGATTACAGCAGGACCGATCCACGAGCTGTACAGGAAGGGAGGCTCTACAGTTCCGCCGCCGGAGAATCAGGGAGCTGGACCACCACGTCTACCGCCACCGTCACTTTCAAGCCTGTCACACAGAATGCTGCAGCGTGGCACTGCTGAAAAATCAACTGGATCTAGCAAATGGGCACAAGTACCCCGAGCCCTCCCTGCAAGGCTGAGAAGGAGCACGTACCTGCGCGTAGCTGCACGTGGTTCTAATCGGTACAAGCGAGCAAGACGCTACGCTCATAGCCGTCATCACCACGGGCAGGACCGGATGGCCAAAGGGATCCAAGCAGACGAGAGACGGCCTGCGGTACCAAGCACCTGTGCAGGTCAACACGTCCGACGAGGAGAAGAGGCGAACGAATTGCGGCACCAGCCATCAACCACCATGCTCGACGCGGGCTCGGAGAGGATACTGCAGTCCCAAGCACAGATGACTCTACTCGGCGAGAGCAGGAGGCTGATCCTAACCTGTAGGAGTGGAAGAGGATGACCAAGGAAAATCCTACCGAACAATCCTGCTGCATCAACGTCGAAAGTATTTTAAATCAAATTGCCGATCCATCTGGTTATGTCTGGCTTGTAGACGAAGATCAGTAATCAGTAATGGCAAAGTGCACAATCGGCTCGATTGCAGCAGCCAAGATTCACTTTCGTGGGATAGTACACTACAAAGGCTAAAGCGCTTTGCCGGGCCGGAGGCAAAAATGTTGCCTCGAGCTTAAGCTTGGGGCTGAGGAGTGGAGAGTGGAGAGTGGAGAGTGAAGAGGAAGAGAGCAACTCGAGCGGGCGTTGACATGATGTCACGAAGCCCAGATGAGCGAACTCATCTGTTGAGATACAGTGCAGTGCGGTGCTGTAGCCCGAGATTTTCCCCCTCCCTCTTCCCTCCTGTAGCCCCCGAATGTAGAGCGGAGTATCGTTGGTACAGTAGTAGCATCACACACGATGTGTGCCCAACCCTTTCGAGGATCCGATCGCTTGCCAAATAACCTGATCGAACTTTCATGTTCACACTGTACTGTACAAGATCGAGTGTGCAATCTGTTCGACTCGACAGTGCCAATGTACACTACAGTACAGTACTTGCTTCCAGGCCGGCTCTGCCAATTCATTCGTGCCACTTTCTCTGCAGCTCTGACAAGCGTTTCACTGGTGGTGTTTGAAGCTACGGAAATCCGTAGCTGTGTAAAGTGTTCGACTAGGTTTCTGTCGAAGTGGGCAGTAGGCGCATGCAACGGCTCTCATTCGCTGTTTTACGACCATGGGTTCCCTCGAGGTCGTATGTGCTGGTGAACGAATGCTCAGATATCTTCTCCGACTCGCTCTGCGAGGGTGAGGATGGTGGTGGAATGAAGCGTGCCCTACAACATCGATGCCTCTCATCGTCTGTTGCGGACCCCCGCTCTTTGTTGTATCTTGAATGTTGCAGCGAGGTCCATTAGCGACGTTTCACAGTGGCTGGGCGGGCAGATACAGTATAGCGGGAGCAGGTGGCTGGTGGCAAGACCTGTCAAGACGGAATGATTTTACTGTTCCTCGTTTGCAGCAGCTGTTCCGAATGAAGTGAAAGGAAAATGGGATCTTCCTGAGCCGTTGGGCGCTCCGTCACTTGCGGTGAGCTCTTGGAACGAGGCAGTACCTCCGAATGATGATGATGATGCTCCTGCCATTCCTCCGGATGACCTCTTTCCGACTGGTGGCCCCTGATCTCAGCCATTTTTGTCCTGGGAAAGAGCATAAACTTGAAGGGAGGGAGTGGGGCTACTGTATCTCCGGAAGCCTGCACCGCGAGGGCAGTCTGCTACTACTTTGTGACAAGACCTATCAATTGCAGAGCCTCAGATTGTGAGGATGCGATGATAGCCTAGAGCGAGGAGCTCCCGTAGAGTACATTGGTCGATGCCAAGCCAGCCAGGCAGCCAGGCAGCCGAGGTTTGAAAGGCACGCTGGCGTTGTAAAAGGCGGAGAGCTCAGTCTCGATGGCGGTATGTTCGCTTGGGCAACGGCTTCTCAAGGACTGCTGTGTCGTTTGTCTATCCATCTGCTTAAGGTCAAGGTCCTGTGGCTGGTGGGAGAGTGCAGCTTGCCGTCCATCAGCATGCCAGGCTAGCCTCAAGGGTCTTTGCTTCTTTGCTTTGTCAGAAAACTCCTTCTTCGTCCGATCCTGGATAGGTGCCTACGAAGTCTGTACAGTAGTCTGCAGTGGAACGTTCTTGCCAAGTGCGCCTTGTGTGCGATTCTGCCGAAATTGTACCATTCTTCAGAGCGAGCCTACGAGAGCTGGGTGGCCAGACAGTCTGAAGGCTCGGGGTAGTCTGGTGGACGTGGTCTAAGCGGTGCTGAGCATCTTGTCAGTACCGAGTGCACCCAGACGGTACAGTAGGAGCCTTTGCGCTTCGGTGGAGGGAAGCAGAGGACCTCCTGAGACTTGGCCTTCCTCGACGGAAGCGTAATCGGGGGGCACATTGGCCTGGAAGCCCGAGAGGGGCGACATGGTATTGTGCTGTATCACTTGGAGAATGCACACCAGTCCTGCTGCGTCGGCCGCTGGTGAGGCGGAGCGCTGGTAAGAGCCGACCATCGAAGAGAAGTAGTGGGGAAGCCGAGGTAAGCTGGGCGTCGAGCGATTGCCATTGGTAAATCGGTGGTGATCAGCCTTTGTCGTCGTCGTCGTCGTCGTCGTCGTCGTCGTCGTCGTCGTCATCGTCATCGTCGAGGTAGGGAGGTAGAGGCATGTCCATCGATGGCCACACCTTCCCAGGCTCGGCAAAAGGGCAAGGAGGAGAGGAATCTCCTGGAGCCACACACGGCCCTCGCGGCAAAGAGGAACGCGGCAAAGTCGAGGAAAGAAGCGGAAAAGGGCCAGGCGCGAAATCCAGTGCACCTTTCCACCCACGCGGTACGCTGTGCTGTGTGCCCCGTGCGCAGTGGCCCCCAACTTTCTCGCACGGACAGGAGAGGAGAGGCAAAAAAGCCAGAGGGCGCACGCGCGCGAGGCAAAAAAGGTAAAGCACAGTACAGTCCATTGTGCGTGCTCTTCCCTCTGGCTCCGCAAAGCGGCATACAGCCCCAGGGCACGCTTCATCTAAAGCAAGGCGGCAGTACCCGGGCACAAGTCCTTCGTGGTTGCTCTCCTCGACGGCCTTTTGCAGACATCAGCTTGGTCCAACTGCCACGAGGAGGAGGCAAGAGCTCAGCAGGTACAGTCCAGTACTCCGCTGCTGGTAGAGCGTCTCCCGCTTCCCCCCTCACGCGAGGACTCTACAACGCTTATCCCCCCAACACATCTGCATCTAGCATATGCAGGTTTCGCAGCGTGGCTTGCACACTGCTTCGATAGCGCCAGCTGGTTTCAAAGGCAGTCGACTCCAAAGCGCAAGCTTGCGCTCAGGGGATTGGGCTGGCGCTACTGTACCGCCTCAGCCGTGAGAGCGCTGGAACTCACATTGGATCACTGCAAAGCTCCTTGAAATCGACTTTCGCAGCGGCATCAGTAGGCAAAGTTCTCTTTCAATTGTTGGGCTTGCCCCTCACAAAGGAAGACAGACGATACATCGGTCACGATCTCCAGCAGAGCCTTTCTGACGCCCCTCTTCTCCTACTCCTCTCCAGCTTCCTTCTCTCCACGACGATGATGCCCAGTACTATCCGCTACAGTCGATGTTGGCTCGCTCTCTCCCTCTCGAAGCTCGACGGCCCAGATCAGCAGCGGTGACTTCCTGCCGTCTGGTGAGAGTAGGAATGGCCACGAGCGAGGACCACGCTCCTTGACCACACGAGCGGGTTCTGTATCGTGGGGTACTCCCGGCCTCTTGGCAGCGTCCAAACCATATTCATCCGCAGACGTCTTGCCGCGTCGTTGTCGAGCTACTTCGCCGGCCTTTGACAGCAGGGTAGTATCGGCTTGAGAGAGGAACTTGATGTAGCGGGACAGGGAAGCAGCCTTCTCGTCCTCGTCTGCCTTCTTTGGGTGAGGGGAAGTCTTCGAAACCATCTTGATACTGTAGTAAAGCCGTCGTCCGCCGCCATAGCAGAAGGGACACCGTCACCGGAAGAGAAACATTCAGTGTCGTGTACGTGCGAGATGGACAGGATGGGGTTACTCACAGGAGACGAGCGTACTGATGATGATGATGATAATGTAGGAGGCCGTACGAGTAGATAGCGGTCGCATGCACCCTATTTAACTCCCATATCTGTTGGAGTACATAGACAACATTCAGACAAGCACATCTGCCTCCATTCGCCGGTTTAGAACGAAAACGAAGGAAGGAAGGTGAGCAGAATGATCCTCAGGGCAGATAAACTTTTGTGGTTGCCCCCAGAAACGGGCGCGGCGATTTCTCCGTTCCCTAATGCTCAAGTACAGTACCGAGAGAGGAGAGGACTGATTCAATTTGTATCCTTCGATGGTGGGCTGAGTACATTAGATTGCTCTTTGCCTTTCACTCTGATCGTCCCTCGTAAGGAAGCCTCGTCCGTCGATCGAGCTGACCTGGCGATCGTTGTAGCTTCAGTGCTTTGCTCTTGCCCTCTTGCCCTGTTCCCCCCCCCCCCCCCCCCCCTTGCATATCACGCTCCATGGGAATTTTGTCATTGCTCGCGACAAATCACACGTAGGTGGCCTTGCTTTTGCTTCGTCATAGTCCTTCGAGATGGGAAAGTTGACCAGTGGACAAGACGAGACAGTCCAGTACCGTCGCACAAGTGCTCGACAGACAGACCGTGAAGGTGCCCCCCCCTGCGTCTTGCTACAGTATGATAGATCGTCTCACCAGTGTTCGATAGAGGCACCAAGCTCTCGCCTCCCCCAAGCATCACCTCATCACCTCTCCTTCTTGCGCCGACACAGCAGAGTACCATACTGTCCCTCCTTGGCCTGCCGCTGGAGTCCTTCTTCAACGTACAGCAGCTCAAGCTCCCGGTCCTCCGCTCCCGAACATATCCTCACTGTTTCAAGGTACCAAGCCTGTCGACCAGAGCCTCGAGCATGGGTCACAAAGCAGGCGTTGCTGCAGTAACAAGGATCGTACGGAGATGCCAAGGGTGTCGAGAGCTGAGCATCAAGAAGAAATCGAGCGTCGAGGAAACCCATGACACCCTCGAAGGCCGAGTGCGGCGAGACAGTAGCAGAGCGAGGGGTCTCTACCAAGGATGCTTTCTCTCGACCTCTCCTGGCCGACGCTACCGAAGTGCTCCGTGGTCTCACCTCCTGCTTTTGCGCATCGCACCGTACCACCATCGACCTAGCTTTTTGTCTACACCTCTTCTCTACTAGCATGTCAGGAGGCTCCTGGGTACTTGATTTCCCTCGGACTTGAATCATGCGCCTCGTTAACAAGGGAAACCTTCAATACAGTCGTACTGTGCGAGACAAGACTTTTGCCAAAGGAAAGGTCCGAGCCGCTGGTTGATCAGGATGGCGAAGAGGGTTTCAGAAGCAGGGTAGGCAAAGTGAGGGACTGGACTAGACTAGCTGGGTGAGTGCGGGACATCATCACTTCACAATGCGTAATAGCAGGGCAAGGTGGATATTCCGCCCTTGTCGCTACCGTCCAGTATAGCAGATGCACCCTATAAGTCATTAGCCATTTCCCGAAATCAACGCCCCGTGAAGAATGTGTGATCGAGTCAAGAATCAGGGTCATCAATTGAGGAACATTCAGCAGAGCCATTGTGAGAACCGGCCTATATCTGATCATCGTCATTCTCCATCCTCCTGACTGCCTGCTCGTCAACCCCTCCGTCCCGCACTTGCACTTCTCGACCCCCGAGACCAGTGCAGTGCAGTGCCAAGCGCAGCGCTCCCTCACCGCTCTGTCACAATTACTGTACACCCTGCTCTGTACCCACTCGCACACACTGCCCAAACATAAGGTCCTGGCTCACAAGGTGCGCGTAGTGATCTTCGGGCCCTGACACTCGCCAGTCGCTGAGCATTTGTGTGCGCGAGTCCTGGTTTGTATTGGGAGGTAGAAGTACAGTACGGAAACAGCGGGGGAGACAAGATTGGGACAAAGCGAGGAACGGCCAGTGCAAGCGCACATTGCTGCCATGAATGGCAGGGTGAACCAAAGCTCCAAGGCGAGGGCGAAGGCAGGATGTTGATGTCGAAGGTCGTGTGGCCCTCGAGGTGCGTGAGGCTGACAGAGCAGAGGAGCACGGTGAGACAGACCGGTGCTTTAGTGTTCCAAGGAATTCCTGGGCTCGAGAGGCCCACACCTCTTGGACTCTTGGACTGTCGGGGATGCAAGAAGCTTGGAATTGAGCGTACAGCTGGCGACCTCAGAGTCCAGATCGGCAAATATGCCCTCGGACACTTTGCCCGCTTGCTCAGCCCCGTACGCATTCGCTTCGGCCACACTGAGATAGCGGCTGTACTGCTACACATCTTCTCCTAGAAGCTTGCTTGTCTCTATGCCGACAGCTCTGAGACCGCCGACGTGGAGTCCACCCGCTCCACTCACCCTCGTGACGAGATCACTAGAGACTGCAATCTGTGTGCACCTCACCGTTGTTGCGGGACCGAAGAGAGTCCATTCTGCCCGCCTTGCTCGTCCAAAAAGAGACTGGGTCAGGTCAGAGTCCACTTGCTGCATCGCTCTTTTCCCTCGATTGTACTGTACTCACCGGAAGAAAGCCAAAGTGACAGTCAAGGCCCGCTGGCACGAGTCAAGCCTCACGATTACGAGGGCTTTCTTCCGAGGGTCTTCGATGATCTTGCCTTTCAGTCGGAAAAGTCTCCCATCCTCCTCATCTAGCTTCTCTTCCGTCTGCGTCACCATCTAGCCCAGCCGTGGTCTCTGCCCATCTTTCTCTGCTATCGCCGATCGACCTCTTCAGACTCTGAGCGTAAGGACGGCTTTCTGCCACCCCTGTCTCCCTTCTGCCACCAGCTCCTTGCACAGGCGAAGCTTTCGGCGGATGAAGGCGATTGTTGCCACCTCTTGCAGCTCTTGAGCGTACGATGTGGTCTTGGGTATGGGGAGGTAGGAAGAATCTGCTGGTCGATAGAGCGTGAGCAAGAGTGCAAGAGGGCAAGACTGGAGGAGCCCAATGAGGTTGTGCGCCAGTGCGTGTGGGTACGGGGAGCGTCGAGGTGAGTGAGATGCAGCGTCCGAGAGGGGAGGGCATTGTCTGTTTGTTGGTACTATACGAGAGAGCAGCAGTGGTAGGGCAGCCAGGAGGATCAGCATTCGACGTCAATCTGTCTGTCTCTCTGTGTCAGGCTGGACATATTTCCCCCTGGGCGCTCCCTCCTTTTTGAGGCTTCCTGGTGCCACGTGCTTCCTGTCGATTTGGCGCCGTGCCGAGCCGCGCGGCAATGCAGTGGATGTCGATCCTTGCCCCAAGCCGCCAGTCTGGCAAGCTTCTCACGAATTCCTTCGTGGATCAATCTGGCTCACCGCTGTGTCTAGGTAGTCTACATAGCTTGCACTTCCCGCTCCATATGGCACCCCGGGAATAGACGGCGGACCCTGCCTCGCGTTTCGGTCCTCCCCTGGTCAACAGGGCTGGCCACTTGCTCCTCCAGACAGTGGTTCATCCAGTCCAATCGTCCGTTCGGACGAGGTAGGACCTAGTACCTTCTGGAGCGGCAGCTGATCCGCCAGCCTCACCTCACCCCATCTCACGCCCACCTTTGCATTCGTCCGAGGTCAATCTGCTTGGGAAAGGAAGTTTGAGATATACCGGATTATGAACACCGTCGACTGCAAGCTTCGAGCGCTATATCGGTGGCTCTGGGACTCAGTGTGAGTCCTCTCTGCTTCCCTCTGTCCACACTATCTCGACAGCGGATGTTGGCGCCTCCACTGCCTCCCAGAGGTCGTCGAGTCTCGAGGCACAGCATGGTCGATTGCAAAGGCAGGACAGAGACTGGACGATGGATATTGTCAGCGGAGCAAGAAGCCTCGGAGTGCACTTTGTCCCACGGCCAGAATGAGAGCCAGTGAATCCATGGCTTCGTCTCCCTTCCGCAAGACACTACAACTAGCGACGACGAGCAGGCTGGACCAGACCTTCTGGTGAGTGGGTATGTTTCGACGCAAAGAATCTTTCAGCGCCGTCTTTTCGATGGCGACTATGGCATCTAGAGTTCAAAGGATGTTCATGGCTTACTTGGCGGAATTAGTGTAGAGATGCACTTCCCCACAATCGATATTGTACAGCTGACGCTGACACGAATCCAACTCTTGCTTCCTCAGCTCGCACCCTCACCGGTCTCCTGCCTCGGCCACAAAGCGATCGAGTCCACAAGCAAAGCAACATCATCCCATGCCTCGGATAGCTTCGGAATAAAGGAAGGTCATTGCTTGCGATGGAGCGATTCTACGTCGGGTAACAGTGAGTGACAGACCATGCGGCTCCCGTAGCCTGACAGCGCTGGCAAAGCAGTCGCTGACTTGAGTTTGGCCCCGCGCCGGGTCACAGCAGTCGAAGAATACCAGCAGCGAGATCGTCTCGCGACGGACTATGACACTCTTTCAGTGGAGCTAGACCCTCTCTGAGACTTAGACTCTATATCTCTTGACGATACCCTTGCTTCCTGCCGTCTTTCGCTGCCTGTATTGCATCCGTACAGTAGCCGTCGGCAAGCTGCCGTCTCAGTATGCACCGATGTCAAAATTAACAGAGGGCTCCTTGCCTGACCACTGCCTGACGCCCACCTTACAGTTGCGACCTTGAGTGTGACTTGCTGAGGCAGCAAGTCGTGGCGAGACTTCCTTCTACTTATCCCGAGTGGATGCAGAGTGCTCACTTCGTCAGCCTTGCCCGTCGTGAAGCGCAGCCGCATCAAGTTCTCCAAAGTCATTGTGTGGGAGATACTCTTGCGGCGCTGGAATCGTGGCAGAGGAAGCTCGACGATTTGTTCTCCAACTGAAGACGGAGGTGAGACACGCCAAGTGCGTCATTTGTTCTTGCACCACTGCAGTGCTCCGGACGTTTCCCATTTCCTTCACACCTTCTTGGTCGTCCCTGCGTCACATGGATATGGAACCCCTAAGCAGGCAGGCCAGGGGCCGTCGAGTTTCTCCCTGGCGACTACCCCCATTTCCCTCCTTCCGATCAAAAAAGTGAGCTGCAACTCTTCCCAAGCTCTTCACGCTACCCCTTGAGCTTGGTGGACTGCATTTCCTCTGCTTTGGCCTCTAGAGAAGATACCGTGCACTGTGTATCATCTTTCGTCTCTAAGTGGAGGCAATCCTGTCTGATCCTACCTTGGGTTTCGGGCTTGCCTGCAGCCTGCAGCATGCAGCCTCTAGTTTACTGTACCTCGGTCTCGGCCTCGGCTTCGGATGCATGCTCGAGCTCGAGCGCTAAGCCGGCCGAGGGGAGGCACGATTTCGCGAAAAAAACACTGGGTCGCTAGTCTCGCAGTAGTCTGGCAGGCAACAAATCTAGGGATGTTGGCGAGGTCCCAGTGAAAGATGTCGTGCGAGAGAGAGCGCCTCGCCTACAACATTGCACCCATTCCTACAGTACTATCCAAAGGCGATGCAGGCAAAGTGACGGATGTTTGCATCGCTCCCTTGCAAAATGCAAATGTCAGGAAGGTTCCATTCTCTCGGTGGACTGCCACACCCATCGGTCCAGACGAAGACGTTGACCGGTCGCTAGGCCGAACACAGTACTGTAGTCAAGATATTCAACAGAGTTCGTGGCTGCGGAATCGACTACAGAAACTTGACAACAGCAGAGGAGTACAGGCGAGGAGAATGATGGGCCCGGCATGTTGAAGGCTGAAAGGAGATCATCGAAGGCTAGGAGGCCTGGGAGGAATTTGCTGATTATTGTCTTGAAGGAACATGGACATCAAGCCATCTTACCCTGTCTCCCGTGCTTGCACTGGAAATTCTATGCACGTGATCACCACTAGGATTGGCGTGGTAGCTTCACGGCTCCACTCGAAAGGAACAAAGTCGAGCGAGTGGGCGAGGTGATGTGAGCTTCGGCAGGGCTGACAGCCCGAAGATCCTCGTCACCGGCTGCAAGGAGACCTGTAGCATATCCTCTTGGACGGGCTGCAATTGCGAGCGACCTTTGAAACTTGCCTGAGCCTGGAAATGGACGGGATGGCGATGGGAATGGCGTTGGAGGGCTCCAGCTAGTGTTCGAGGCAGAAATGACGTCTCCAAGGTCACTCAGCGCTCTCGCTTTGTCGACGACGTGGTCTTGCACATGAGCTTGAGCTTAAGGCTGGAAATTGCGTGATGACATTTGCGCAGTCGATGTTGGCAGGTCTGGCAGCGTCAGCTTCAGCTGTGACCTGTCTGGCTGGCGTTGAGTCACATCGGTGGCGGGCTCGCTTGGTGCAGACTAGCGCGAGAGGTGTCACGGCCTTGCGTTTGTTCGCCTTCACAGTAGACGATGAGGTGGAAGGGCGTGTCCCGTTCGCACAGGCTGCATGCGGAGCCTGGTGGTGACTCAAAGGCTGTGCCAGCTCGACCTCTGTTATCGTACCAGGACTAGTCGTAGGAACGGTGCACGGCTCGGCAGAGCGAGCTGTGCTGCTCAGTCTTCGTAGATACAGGCCTGTGGTCCTTGACTGTAGCCAGCATGTGGGGCGAAGAAGCTGACTCTGCTCCCATGGACAGTCGGCGCGCTTCAATATGACAATGGTGTCCGCAAGAGAATCGGCGTTGATGGCACGTAGCGTATGAGCAAAGTCAGACTCCTGGGGCTGAACAGCTCGACCTGTGATAATCGTTAGCTCAAAGGCATCTCGGACAAAAGCGCAAAGCCAGTAGCGAAGCCCGATATCGTCGTCGTGATGAATGAGCAGAAGTGGATTGCCCTCTTCTTGTGCCGAAAACTTCAAAATTTGCAAGTCACAGCCGTTGGCCTGCCAAGTCGACTGAAGGGCAGTGTGATTCCCGCTGAGTCGGACTGAAGAGACGCTCTTAAGGCTGAGCTGGAGTGGGAAGATGTCCTTCGGAACCGCCGGAGGTATTAGCTCACCTGCAAACGACAGAAGAGCACAGATAGGCTTCCTTCCGGGCTTCGAACGGCGTTTGTCAAGGCTATCTTCGAATGAAAAGCAAGGCACCCGATTCTTGCCGTCATTGGCCACATGACTGGGTACGTTCCCTTTGAGATAGGTGCTTGCTGTCCGAATCATGACGTGGAAGGCGGGCGACTGGGTGTCAATGCTCCTGATGAGCTTGCCATCTCTTGTGGTGAAGTTCACTCGGGGCCCGTCCTGCATCCTGCCTGTGGGCAGTCCAGCTAAGAGCTGTTGAAGGATGACTCGAAGTTGATGTCCAAAGGAGCCGTTGGATCGGCTAGTGGATGAGTGGGCATCTTGCTTCTCAATGTGACCCTGGATGCTGGTACCGCAAAAAGAGAGATCGGCAGGCTGCAGATCGTATACGTCTTCACTTTCGGCTTCGCATCCCTCAGTGTCCGAGTCGCCGAGGTTCTTGTGGTCACTGTAGTCTTTCTGGCTATCGTCTTGACTTGCTGTTGTGGAGCGCGGATGAAAGTGGGGCGCCATCTACTGCTAGAGTCCGGACCTTACTTTGCGTACGGAGAAGGGGTGGGCTGAATGTGGCCATGATGGCGCATACAGGGCTGGCGGAGAATTGAAATGGGCCCGAGGGAGGATGTAGAGATGGTGAAGTGGGGGAAGATGTGGTTGGGCGGGGAAGAAGGTGGAGGAGTAGGGAGACCGAAGTGGAGAGAATGACGAGTGATGGTACGTAAGGGTGTAAAGATGGGATGCAGCACAGCATGGTCACTGGCGGGTAATATCCCTCGTTGCCCTGGCAAACCTTGCGCGGCAGCAATGCTTCCCGCTACCTTCCCCACCTTTGCCTCCTCGACGCTACAACCAGGCCGTCCCCGGCTGGGGGGGGGGGACGCAAACCCCTCTTGTCTCTTCGAACAAGCACGCTTCGCCGTCCCACAAGGACTGGAGCACTCCGATACTGCTCCCACACGGCTCTCTGATCCCTCAACACCTCGTCATCACACGCAGACCCACGAGGATGGTCAGTCGGCGTCATGATGCACGGCACGAGATGCGGAAAGACTCCTGTTCAGCTTCGCTACTCAAGTCGTACAGGTTGACGTACGACTTGGAGGATATATTTCTCCGATGCAGAAGACTGATGTGCGAGGGGTGATACAATCCAGACGCAAGACGGAGCATGTCTGTCTGGCCGGTGTCTTTCTGCCGGTGCTGAGAGCTGGGATCTTGGAGACGAGCTGGCCGATGATGAGCCGCGAGAGTGGCATTGGCGTCGTCAGGTCATCGATGGTTCAGACGTATACGCTGAAGCGAATTACTGTACGAGTCGTCGTGAAGGTAAGGTAAGAGGGCAGCCTGTTGGGCGATCTGGTGGTGGGCGGGGTATAATGGAGCTCGCGCTTCGTCGAGAGTGCACACGTCGTGTCACATGCGCAGCGCATCGTTGGGCTTCATTCGATCATCTGTGCCTTGTCCTCCAGGGCTCACATCTGCCTTAAGAGCAGTCAGGCTTCCGACAACATCCGTATCGTGCTCTTGTTTCTCTTGGTACTCCAGTGTGGCCCTGACTGCCTCTTCCAGACCCATTTCTGCGCTCTTCTTCTGTTCGAAGAGACCAAGAGATGTGGGGGTGGCGTGCGACTGGTAGCACGCACACTGGGGAGTGGCACGCAGAGTCCGTCGTGGAAATTGCAGAGTGGAGGACTCCTTTTACCATCGCGACCTTTGCTTCAGAGCCATTGGTGGTGGAAGGAGGCTCGCACATCATCAAAGGACAGAGCATACTAGCAGGGGTAGCTAGATTGGCTTCTGACGTGATTCGTGATTGGAGTGGCGGGCCGACTGAGCAATTGCGGTACCGGCTTGCGTTGAGAAGAATGACGGCACGCTTGGGACGGGCGCGCGAATATGACTGATCTTGCGGCGACGTTGGCTCAGAGGCTTGGTGGCCGAGATTGACCTCACTTATGGTCTTGAAGGTGTGGCACGTAGCTGAGCCGGGTGACACTGAGCCAAGAGGGTGGGTGGAAGGTGGATCTTGCAGCGTCGTGGTATAGTACTGACGGTAGCTTGAGGTTGGTAAGGTAGGAAGCAAGAGAGGACTGGGGTGTGACACATCAGGTCCAATGTTTCCTTTGTGCCTATCGGGTTATTGCGCAAGATGAGAAACGTTTGCAAGCAACAGCCGTGTCACCCTCGAGGGCTGTGCCACCCATGGTCTCTCCGATCGACGAGAGTTCAGGAAGCGGTAATGCAAGGGATCTTCACGGCATTCGCAGTCCTGCCGTCATCATCCCCAGTGGCTCATGTGGCAGAAACAAGGCACGAGCCGGCGAAGTTGGGCTTTGCCTTTGCAGAGGTACACTCTTGACTCCAATGACGATGATCGAGCCCGTGTACCTCAAGCTGGATGCTGTCGACGACTTGACTTCTTGCAGCCCAGTCCGAAAATCTGAGATGGGGGCCCATACAGTGGCCTTGCGATGAGGTCACCGAATGTGGAAGTGCGACAACCCGACAAGAGAAGCGGGCAAGTGGCCTTGATTGACGAGACCAGCCACCTTCAGGTGGGAACCGGAGATGCCTCTGAGTGCGTGAGAGCTAAAAGTGAATGACCCTGTGTGCGGCGTTGTGTGTGTGAAGCTGTGGCGGCAGCGAGTCTCGCGTTGGCAATGTCAAGCTACGCTCGGCGGTACTTGGCGCTGAGATGACTGAGCTGAGCTGAGCTGAGCTGAAGTGGGCTGTGCTTCGACGACGGAGCCGATGATATGTATCCTCGAGAGTGACTTCAGGTGTGCCAAGGGACCGACGGATCAGGCTGGGCACTTTCGATGTGAGCAACAGCCCGCCCACAAACCAAAAAAACAAGAAAAGCAGGGGATTGGGGGGGGGCGCAACTGCAATCGGAACGGAAAGACGCCCTTCCAGAACAAGTGGGCGGAGGGTCAGCCCAGGGACAAATTTTATTGAAGGCTGTTGGACCGTTAGTGGTTTGGTCCCTAGGGGCCTCAGGGATCATCGTCCCTGTGCCTTTACCGGACAATGGAATCTCAAGCTCCGGAACCCTTGACGATGAAAGGGAAGAGGTTTGCAATGCACAGTAACAAAGGGAGAGCCTCGATGTTGAGCATCGTGGAAAGGCACTGGCTCAATATACACCGTGGCTACGTCCACTGCCCTTCAGTGCGAGCGAATCGTTCGACTCTCCAAACTCTTTTCCAGGATCGAATGTTCTTTTGGCGGAGCCGGGGCAGTTTCAGGTAGCAAACTAACCCGGCGGAAGAGCAATTGCGCTAGAGTGAGGTCCCTCGGCGGTCCTGCTTGAGAAAGGACGGAGACTCCTCAAGAAGACTGCTCCCTTGCATAAGTGGGCTATGTGCCCTTGTAGCCAGAAGCAAATCTGTCTTTCTTCCATTCGTCTCGCTTTTCGCTTGTCCAGTCCTTCGACACTAGACGAAAGGACTACACTTCCTCGCTGCCCCGTACCTCAACCTCTCTTATCGACGCCGTTTCGCAAGCATGAAGCGACACTTCAGCCTCTTCTTTGGCAAGAAGACCGAGGCTTCTTCGAAGGACCCACGGATGGATAAAGCAGACGATAGCGTTCTAGCAGATCCAATAATTCGACAGTCGCTTCATAGATCTCCGCCACGCCTGCCAGCCTCGGACCGATCAAGTCCTTTTAAAGTGGGCTTCGAGTCGTCTCGATCCCAATCAAGTCTGCCCGATGCTAACAACGGCAAAGCCCCGAGTATGGGAGGGATTATAGTGGACACTTCCGCTGGACAAGGTCGGGACAGCCTCAAGCCCGGCACGAGGCAGATTGCGCGAAGTGAGTACAGTCTGACCTATGACACCGGCTTGTGCTGTTGCCAATTACATTCGGCTGACCCAGATTGACCCTCTGTCCCCCAGGCGCCTCGGCCGGACCTTCCAATCACAAGCAGCATAGGGCGTCCGAAGAGTACCAAACCCGAGCGCCAAGACAGGAGGTGCAAGCCTTCAATGAAGAGATCCTGAAGAAGTTCGCTGCACGCACTTCTCACTGGCAATCACCCTTGAAAGTCCGAGCGGAGGATAGAGCCAGAGCACGGCAAGACAGTCTTGCTCGACTCCCACCACCACGAGGTCTGGGTGCAACTGTACGCTCGGGACATGGTCCGACTGCCGCTGGGCCTGGAAAAGGTATACATGCTTCGGGTAGGCAATTCTCCGCTATGAGTCTGGCAGACCGCCTAGGATTGGCTAAAGAGCATGAGAATGATGATGAAGCTGCGTAGGAGATGGGAGAGGGGGAGGGGG